GAGGGACCTGGCTCGTCGCTGCACACCCTAGCCTGTTTGCAGGGCGGACCTAAATCAAACGAATAATGCACAGCAGCCACATGACTCTATTCCTCATTAATGAATGGTTTGAGAGGCATCATTTTCAAATTAACGAAAAATGCATTTGCTTTGCAAAAAACAGGCAAGCTCAGAAAATAATTACTTTTCAATTTCCGGCCGCACAACTGCTTCAAATGTGGACGGCGTAGGGGAAGTCTTTTTTTTCTTGGGTAGCCGTCACAGGGGAATCTTTTCGGCCTTAAATTCAATTCTCCCTATGATGCGTCACCTAAAACCGGGAGGTATATTGGTACAGGGCTGCAGAGGCCCAGGAAATGAAGATTCCTGTCAAGCCTGAGGAGGATTTCCGAAGCGTAAAGCATTTTTTGACTCATTCGCGACAATGTCAGCCTCCAGTGACCGGCACTGTCGGTCCGAACGGGCGGTTCTCGAATGAGCCATTTCTCCCACAGGAGTAAGGCTCGCAGCATATCCTAGTTTCAGTAGACTGATCAAGCTAATTTGGAATTCCCGTGGATCGCATGAACTACTGCACCAAAAGAGATGAAATATTAAAAATTACATTTTGAACATCACCTTTTTTTCCTTTGAAATCAACGGCATGCGACGTAACCCACTACAAATCGAATTCTTGCCACACTAGACACGGGGGTGTGGTATTAGGACAGAAAGCGAATTTCTCGCGTTTCGCAGCGCGGAACATTTCAGTGGACCCAAGGTTTCCCACAGCGGGAAATGTTTGCTGCGAAACACGAAAAAGTCGCTTTCTGTCCTGGTAAACCTCACCACTAGACACGGCGACCCAGCCCGCCTGTTACTCTATACTCTTCGCCGCGCGACATGCCTCCTCCTCTTTCTCCATTACTTCAATATTTTCCAAGCTGCCTTCAAATTCTCTGTAAGGCAAACAAAATCCAAAAGTGAAAGTGCCAACCGGAGCAGTCTGATTTCGGCCTTGATGGCTTCTCCGCTACAGTGGGTGATTCCGGGTCGTGCATATCTATAGTGATATTGCGCATGGCAGGGCTTCGAAATATAGAAGTGCTGACATTCCCACGACACATCGGACATGACCGCTCCTGTGTTCGAAATGCGGCACCTGAATGGAACCGATACGAGCGACACCTCATTATAGGTTTGCCTAAAAAGCTCATAACATGGACCTACCTTTGATACACAGAAAACAGAATTTATGCCCACATCCAGGCACAGCCGTGGGAAGTATCATTTTCTGAGCACAAATAGGGCATTCATCGTCATCTTCTTCTGCCATTTTAATAGTTATAATATTTAGCTCTGCAACCCAGATGGAATAATTCACTGTAAGTTATTCAGTTCAATCCGCATATGATTAGAGTTTGACTCAACAGTGGAGCAGAAGCAGAGAGCGAAATGGTTTGATGCGACTCAGAAAATGGGGCCGCAGAGAAGGGAACATGGACAAGATAAGAAGAGCACAACACCTATTCTGGAACACTGAAGCTGAACAAGATGACTAAACATCAAATGTGTCCTCTCCTCCAAAGTGAGCACAAAGTAGTAGTACCCACATCGCGTATCTTAACCGTTCCGACAGAACAGCAGCAAATTCCTAATTCGATAAACTAGCCCTTTTTATGACAGTTCATTGCCT